CTTCTGTGAGACGCCAGTATTTAAGCCGGGCACAGCTGATGAGCCGATGGGCCACAGCTGCCAGCGATCTCCCCTGATCGGCTCCGCCCAGCCTGCAGTGAACAGAGACACACCCACAAAAACACAGAGACAGACAAAAACCCAAAAACCCAGTGAACAAAGTCTAAGATCCTCACAGGATGTGCGACAAATGGTGGGTTAGTAAGAGCGTATTTTAATGACTGAAAAGCATCCTCACACTCAACTGTCCATCTAAAAGTAGCACCTTTGTGAGTTAGTGAGTGGAGTGGAGCAGCAATGATAGAAAAGGTTTTGACAAACTCATGATAGTCGGAGCACAATGTGGCGAACTCTTTTACTTCTGTGACAGTCCTGGGAGTTGGCCACTTGCGTACCTTTTCCAGGTTCTTCATATCTGGCTGGAGTCCATGGCTGGAGACAACGTGTCCAAGAAAAGTCACTTCAGTTTGGGCCAGGTGACATTTCTTTGCTTTTAGTTTAAGACCAGCTGATATGAACCGGTCAAAAACTTCCCCAAGGGTCATGAGGTGGTCACTGAAGGTTTGGCTAAAGACTAGCACATCATCTAAATAGATTAGTCTTTCTAATGCAAGCCATGAAGGACTAATTAATTAGTTAATTAGTCTCTGGAAAGTCGGGGGAGCGTTCATCAGTCCCATGGGCATAACTTTGAACTGATAAAGACTGCTCCCAGTGTTGAACGCTGTCTTCTCTCTGTCCTGTGGCTCGAGCTCAACCTGCCACTATCCACTTGACAAGTCCATGGTGCTGAACCAACAGGAGCCTGACAGGCTGTCAAGTGCCTCTGTTGGACGTGGGAGGGGGTATGAGTCTTTGATAGTGGTTGCATTTAGCTTTAACCAATGCAGAATTGGTAGGTACCATCCTTCTTGCGTACCAAAACAAACGGGGAGGAAACATCTTCGATGATGTCCTGTTCCAGGAGCTGTTGGACTTGCCTGTTGATCTCCGCTCAGATGTTTGGGGAGGCCCAGTACATTCTCTGCTTGATTGGGGGATTGTCCCCAGTCCTGATACTGTGCTTAACTAGGTCTGTTCATCCATAGTCATGGTCATGTGCACTAAACACATCACAGTAAGATAAAAGTAAAGCCTGGAGCTTTTGTCTCTGATCAGTTGTTAAAGCAGAGTCATTTAGATTAACATCTGGCAACAATTGTTGTGTAGAAGACTCAATGTGGGTGGCAACTGCATCTACATTCATCTCAACTAAACAGTACTCATCATCAGTATCCTGGCCTAGGGGATAAAAATCACCTAGTTTCGTGTCACTGGGTACGTATAAGTCAGAGGTAGTTGAATTCATAACTTTAACATAGGTAAAACCTGCCTAAACTGGAGCAATAGTATGTGCGGCTAGTAAGTCGTGGGAACTGGGTGGTCCTGGATCGATAATACCAGTATAGTCCACATCAAAGTCAGGCACACCAATGGGGGGTTGTACTTGAGCTAGAACTGTTATTTGTAACATGGCAGGCACTAAGAGAGGGATCACAGTAATGGCATTGCAGCTTAAAGGGACTGTCTCTGTAGTGCACAAAAGTGGAACACTGACATGGTTACCAACTTTGAGGACACCTCTTTCAGATCTAAGACAGCAAAATGTGCAAGTAAGAAGTCCCAGCCTCATATGACAGACTGTGTAACATTCCTGACTACTTGAACTGTGTGTGTAAACATCTCACTGCCAAGCCTCACATTCATAGAGTGCCTAGTTTGTCTAAATAGTCGCCAGTCACAGCTCGAGGTACAACTTGAGGTCACTGTAGTGTTTCCGTTCTCAGAGAGGGGATGGACAATCTAAAGGCTTCACTAATCAGAGAGATGTCTGAGCCAGAATCTATGTACGCTTTTTGTAGCAACATTTTCAATTAAAGCTGCAAGCTGTCGGGTCCTCGGTCCGCGCTGTGACCTCATACCCGTCTGACTGTTCTTCAAGTTAAACCTGCTTTAAGTTGAAGGAGCCATGTTTCTGTCTCTGCTCAGCCTGTCAGTGAGTGACAGGAGCAGCTGCACTGAGCTGTGATGATGTCATCGTTCTGCATGGCCCTGGCTGAGAGAGCTGAGAGTTTTACTCACTTTCTCTCTCCCATACTGCCACAATTTTCACCAAATGTGTGTAAAAACATCCTATTTTTTGTGGGAAATCTTGCTAGGAAGCCCTCAGTGTCATTTTTAAAGCTGTAGGACCTTTAGTTTTTTCCATAGACTGTACAAAAGATGGATGCAGCTACCGTGACGTCACCCGTTGGTTTCTGCACTGAGAAAATGAAGCCAGGGTTTTGAAGATTTTTAAAAAATTCAGTATTCATTTATTTTCAGATTGGCCACCTGATCTCTGGACTTGACCATGAAAACTAATAAAAAAAAAAAAATCCTGAGCTGGAGGAGTGCGGTATTTGGTGATCTGTGATCACTTCTTTTCCAATTCATTTCTATGGGAGCCAGGGCTTTTTGGAGCCAGGACTAGCGGACGTAGTGATACTGCAGGTTTTTAACACTTCCAGGTTGGCTTCATTTTTCAGGGCCGGTTGCTACGTCCATCTTTTATACAGTCTATGGTTTTTTCTGTAGATGACCAAATGTCACAGCATGTCGACACATGCCCCCATACGCAACCATATAAAGTTTGAGCCGAAGCTGCGACAGCTCATCAACTTTAACGGCTCGCCATTTGAAAACCGGTTGAGAAATGCCAAATCCCTTCAGAACTTTTGTACATCAAGGCCTTCTCTGTCTCCTGTGCTATTTTCAAGCTGTGTCAGACAAGATAAGTTTTTCCCAAAAGGATGTTTTCACTTGTTTTTTTAACTTTGAAAGGCAAATTGCGGACTTCCTGTTTGAGATAGGTCAGGGGTGTCAGTGCGAGATTTGTGGGTCTCATTGAGACGAACGTTTTGGTGTTGGTTTGATCTCTGTGCGACATTCCTACTGGCCGCTAGGGCCGTTTTACTGTGTTTTTTGTAACTAGGTGGCGCTAGAGAGGTTTTTTATATTTTTTTTCATTTTATCAAAATTTTTGCCGATTCTTGAGGTGCGTGCCAATTTTGGTGAGTTTTTGAGCGTGTTTAGGGGGTCAAATTAAGGGTTTTATGTGCGTCAAGCAAATAATAATAAGAAAGAAAGAAACACTACAGGAACAATAGGGTCCTCGGACCCTAATAATGGTCAATACATTTTGTGTGAATGCCCTATGCTTGGATTGCTGTACTGATTTGGTCTGGACCTCTTCACTAGAAGCAGACACTTGGCCCTCAGACCTGCTACCATTCGTTTTCCTGTTTGTAGTGGTCTTTCCTAAAGGTCATATGCTGATCTCTGTCAAATAAATAAATGATGCCATGTCTGCTACATTATATTTCACGACACTGTATGCGTCTTTGAAATGGACAAGTGTTACGGCCCCTGGTGTTTGTGTCGTCTCGAGTTGTGGCAGATCCCTTCTGACCTCTGTATAGGGAGAGGAGTGGCATGAACGCTGGTGTAGCTGGCCGGAGAGCCTGCTCCTGCCCAAGCTGCCAGCCACTGCAGCTGATTAACCTGGAGCTCCAGACCTGCACTCCAGCCCCTGTTCTCCCCGCCTGCTGTTCCTGATGAGACCACCACCCAGTACCTTCTGCCCTCAACCAATCCAATTGCAGCAATTGACACACCTGGATTATAAATCTACAACCAATCTCACAGTCAGGACAGCTGGGATTTAATGTGAACAGTTCGCCCTGGTGCCTCTTGTGTCTTGTGTCGTGTTTTGTGTGGTAAATCATAACTTCTGTTGGCAGCTGCTTGCTTAGTGTGGGAATGACACAAGTCTTGGTGAAGACTATAATAAGGGTCCGAGGACCCCTTCTAGAAGGGCAAGGACCCTATTGTTCCTGCTTCGTTTCTTTCTTTCTTCTTATTGTTCTCCCAACGAACGCGAAAACCTTTATTAGACCCCCTAAACACGCTCAAAAACTCACCAAAATTGACATGCACGTCCAAATCGGCGAAAAATTTGATAAAATGAAAAAAAAATCACTCAAAATTGGCTCTCTAGCGCCCCCTAGATACAATAAACACACTTAAATGGCCCTAGCGCCCAGTAGGAATGTCGTACAAAGATCAAACCAACACCAAAACGTTCGTCTCAATGAGACCCATAAATCTCGCACTGACACCCCTGACCTATCTCAAACAGGAAGTCGGCAATTTGCCTTTCAATGTAAAAAAATGAGTGAAAACATCTTTTGGGAAAAAATTATCCTGTCTGACATTGAAAATGGTATCAACTTGAAAATCCCACAGGAGACAGACAAAGCCTTGATGTACAAAAGCTCTGAAGGGATTTGGCTTTTCTCAAACGGTTTTCGAATGGCGAGCCGCTAAATTTGATGATCTGTCGCAGCCTCGGCTCATACTAGGTTGGCTGTCTATGGGACATATGCAGACATGCTGTGACATTTGGTCATCTACACAAAAAACTAAAGGTCCTACAGCTTTAAAAATGACACTGAGGGCTTCCTAACAAGATTTACCACAAAAAATGTGTTATTTTTACACATATTTGATGAAAATTGTGGCTGTATGGGAGAGAGAAAGTGAGTAAAACTCTCAGCCAGGGGCATGAAAAACGCTGAGTCATCATGACGTCATCACAGCTCAGTGCAACTGCTCATGTGACTCACTGACAGTCTGAGGCTGAGCAGAGACAGAAAAATGGCTTCAACTTAAAGCCGGTTTAATTTGAAGCATGGTCAGACGGGCATGAGGTTCCAACGTGGACCGAGGACCCGACAAACGCTGCTTGCAGCTTTAATTTTTATTCATCTCTTAATATTGTTTCGGTGTGGAACAGGTACTCAAAGCATTTCACTGCGCATTATATTGTGTATGACTGTCTTTGTGACCAATAAAGACCTTGAATCCTTGAATCCTTCTTTGTATTATCACACTTTTTTTGTGTTCCTTTTGTTACTGAGCAATAAATTGCTGTACCGCCACCAATTACATTTGATTAATGTTACACCCAGGTGACCCTGGTGTCTGGATCTATATGTCTGAGTAGTTTAAGACCTACTAGTTTGTAGTTGAATTCTTTGACTGTTGACTGTTGTTCGACTGCATTCTATATGGCGCACCAAGTGTAAATGGAAGCAGTGGCAGTTTATTGTTTGCTCACTTACAATTAGAAATATGACACTGGAATACCATCAGACATGTGTAGCTTCACTAAAAAGCATCTCAATTAAGAAAATTTCTGGTATTGTTCATTTAGACGTACAGTACATGTCACTGATCAGCAGTAACTAGTCTTCAATTGGGCGCAGCAAATACCATCAAATCACAACACTGGCATTGTACAATGTTAACATGCACACTGTGTCTAATTAATTCTTAAAATAATCAGCTCTGAGATATTTTTTGGGCTGTAATGTTCTAGTAATATTCTTGGCAGCTGGTTCAGTGTCAGTAAGGAGTACTCTAGTGACAACCCACATATTGATATTTGCTGTTCTGTGGTTTTTGCCTCCCACGGATCAAACAAAATTCACTGTGCACAAAATAAAAGGGTAACTTTTATTACACGGGACTAATACTGACTTCATATTTTTCACTGCATATTAAAATTTCAAAGCCCAACATGGAAATACTTCAATGAAATGATGAATTCTTTATCTGTAAGAGTTTCTTTTTATTTCTATTGTATGCACAGTACCTGTTCTATTTAGTGCAACACACTGCTGAGTGTTACTGTTCAGAAAAGGTCATTATTTGAGGAGCTGCCATTAGTGGAGCCTATTCAAGCTCATGCTATCAGTGGCTTATAAGTATATTAGGGGTTGGGTGGGAGAAATGGGGGAGTTGGTACTTGCTTAGATACTGGGCCAGCGTCTTTCAGCAGTGCGAGGCGCCAAGGCTGATAATGAAAGGCAGTGACAAACCTAAAGGTTCCAAATCAATTTACAGACTTGGGCACATCTAGGAAAGGGCAGTAAAAAGGCAAATGGGGCTATTAATGTGGCTGTCTGTGTGAATGAGAATGGGCCATGAGTTAGCTCTACTTGACAGTTTTCTGACACTCAAGAAAAAGAGATTCCTGGTCACACGTGAGATTTTTCACATTGAGATATTTTAAAGCTTGAGTAACACTCTGTGTCACATGTTGTTGTTACACAATCTGGAACTTTTTTGCATTTGCAGAATTTTGACAATGTCTTTAACTGTTGAGGTCTGGAGAAGTAAACAGTGAGTAAAGTGAATGTGAGAAATGGTAACAGTATGATGTAGTAGAATCCATTTTCGTCTTCAGAGCCACACAGTCCACTTTAGAAAGATGGAGACATGAGTCTGACACAGAACTTTTACTATGAGGACTGGGGTTTATGTCCTGTGTGAGATCGGTATTTTGTTTTCACTTGCTGTGTGATTAGGTTTAGGTCTCAACACTGCCTTGTTAGGCTTCAGATTTTCATGGTTTCAGTTAGAATGCAACCCTGGCATAACATATTTGAACCCATTTTCTGGGTTGCCAGGTGATGATTTCCTTTCCATGAGAGGTATTTAACTGTTGTAGAGCTGAATCCTGTGGGTGGCTGTCCAGATCAACAAGAATATGGATGAGTGAGTCAATAACAGCATTAATTTGGAGCGATAGCTTGCTGACTTTTCAGGACCATAATGCATCAATTTGTAGCTGTCCATGTGAGGTCTCCTGTCGTGGTCTTCTTTGGGACTATGGTGGGGGTGGCAGGGGGGGAGTAATAGTAATTGCTAGACGGGTGATAAATGGGTTCACCTGTGAGTCCACTTGACATGTATCTGTTGTTCATTCCTTCTCCTCTGTTTGGTTATAGGGACCATATTTTGGTCTGAAGTCATGCTGCTTTCTTGTTGGAGGCTTGGTCGATCTGGATTATCCGGAGTCCTATGTAGCAGCCAGGTGGGACCAGACACGGCAGGCTTCTTTTAAAGTACCATTACAGTGATGTGAGTGACATATGATTGGTTGGCTGAAAAGGAGCAACTGTAAAGCAAATAAATAAATGCAAAAATTATGATTATTAAATACATTTTTTATGATGCACCACAAGCACACACAATCCAGGAGGAAATATGTTTCCCTCCGAGCAGAATTGAGACTGCAGTCGAGGTGTATAGAAACAAAGTTTGTGGGAGACACGCACTCATATTGTTAATAATATTCCTTCAGTTTATATATAGCTGCATTAAGAATCCACTTTATGCTGAACTCAGCCAAACAGGCAGGAAATTTAAAAATGTAGTCAAACACCTTCAGTTTTCATTTACTTTAACATTGAAAATGTACTGTTATTCTTTTATTCATACATATGTAGATCCTTGGGCATATTTTCTAATATCTTCCAGTTCTGTGTACAACTTTAAAACCATACTGCAGTCGACAACAGTGATATTACTGCACACATATACATGGCACAATGTGTAATAATAAGTAGCTACTGTAATGAATCGATGTATTATTTGCAGGAAGACGTGTCACCCAGCAGGTATAACATGTAAACAATTTATAGACAAATGAGAGGTGAAAATGTTGAACTCTTATCACTTATAAATTCTTACAATTCTTAGAATGTGGAAACCAAGAAAGATCCACGGACCTCACATTTAAAGAGAGCACAGTGAAATTCAGTAATTACTAGTTCAGCTATCTTCTGTTTGCAATCAAATGTCAAAGTGTGCTGCAGAGTGGAAAATGTTATTTAATTTTTTTCCCCTTCCAGATCGTCAGCTCAATTGCCTAGAACCAAGATGGAAAAGAATAAAGTAGAAATCATCTCTCTGCAGCCTCATTTTTCTGGTTTCTAAATATTGCCCTTGAACTATATTATTGCTTTTAACTTGTGAGGTTAGAATTATAAAAATTCTCCTCAGCCACAGAGGCTTTTCACAAATTCTGCAAAGTCAGACATTTATGTGCTATGAGACATGAATAAGAAGTAGGGAAAATAAAATTAACTATGGTTTTTAATAAATCTGACAGGGAGAGCATTTCTGGGTACATTTGCATTTCCAGCTGTGCCAAAGTCTTTTCACTAAGACCTTAAAACAACACAGACAGGGAGTATTAGGTGAAAGTTTTTTGTGAAATGTAGTTTGTTTTTAGCTTTGCGAACACTGAGATTTTAGTCAAAGATCAACAACAAAGCAGTCTAAAATGGAGGGCATCTTTAAGTGCCTGTCTTGCTTCTGCAAAAGCTGGACATATAAATCCTTTAAGAAACTTTTAAAAACAGTCGCTCTTACAGCTCGAAGACCATTCTATCATTTTATTTTGGCCAAGTGTGATTTATAGCTCAGCGCCATACTGCCAGTCACTTGCATTGTTTGCACAACGAAGCACAACCTGCAACGAAACCTAAATTCATGCATTTGTGCAGGTCTTTGTTGCACTATCAGGCATGCCATCATCATCTGGAGCAGTTTCATCAGCATCTTATCTCCTATACAAACCTATATGGATGAGGCTTCTAATGCAGCTGGGGGTGGAAATATCGATTGGCCTCACAATTGTTCTTACCATTGTTCACCAGTTAATGTCTTTCTCTCACAAATTAAGGCCGTCAGACAGTTATGCTTTAAACAACTAGCCACTGATGATACACTTCAGTGTTCTGTAATCTCTCACAGCCAGTCTAAGTTTATATTTTTCCTCAGAAGGTTATATTTGACATTTTGACAGTTTGACATATGCAGCTGTCTAAGATGTTGAAAATTAAAATTACACCATGCAGAGAGACGCATGCACGGCTCATTTAATCATTTTGAAAATAAAAGTCAGAAAAATGATTTGCCTGTCCACTGGGTGAAATGTACCAAAAATACATTTTTCGTGCCTTAAGCATGTTTGTATGGGATTGGAACACTGTGAATTTCAGAAAATCCAGCCTTCATCACAAATTTATATGTGCTGTTGTTGATATAAGGTGATGAATGATTGTAAAGGTATTATTGAACTCATAGTGTGTCATATTGCGTTATTAGTTGTGCTGATGGGTGGAAGCTCTTTTATGGTCATTAATGTATCAAAGCAGTGCTAATTGTATTGGTGTTGAACCTTGGTGGTGTGAGCAAACTCATGAGGAATTGGTGAGGAAACCTCCTCCTGAAGTATGCCTGTTGGGGTTCTAGTCTTGAACCTTTATTCTGGTAGTTGTATTTCCTGTGTGTGCTTTGGCTGTGTTGTGCTTTGCATTTTCAGGCTGGGCGGGCCGTGGCCGAGGAGGACTCGCTCACACCTCCACTGCACCTGTCCCTCATCCCAATCAGCGGTGCTTTAAAGCCAGCTTCTTCCCGTGATGCAGCGTCAGAGGATTGACTCCCCTATGAGCGGTAGATCGGCCACGCTTCGTCTTGAGTTCTCGTGCTTGTTGTTTGTTTGTTTGTTTATGCTTACCTTGTCGTTTCGTCATCCCCTTCAGAGCCTCCTCAGTCTGACGTCCCCCCAGCCAAGCCGTTATGAGTCAACCACCAGCAGCAGCCCTTCGGTTCTCCCCCCACTGGATTCACGCGCCACAAGCACCGTCTCCCTGGAACACGGATTCCCCCACCTCACACTGGAGCACACCTTGGGAGTCCCCGGAAACCCTCTCACCTCCCCCCACAAAGACCACCGCGCACCTGCACTCCCCCCTCCTGCTTCCTTGGTGTCCTCATTCCTGCTCCGAATAAAACCCTCTTTATTATTGACACTGTCTCCCTCGTCGCATTCTGGGTCCACTTCCTACAAATTAGAAGCTCACTCCTAACAGTGCCAAAAGTAATAAAAAACAGTGTTTGTTTCAAAATAATTAGAGTTCCCAATAAAGAAACAAAATGTTAAAATACAAAACAGGTGGAAAATCAATCTGAAAAAATGCATAAAGAATAATTTTGTATACTTGTCTGTGATTCACACATAATGAAATTGTCCTGTTGTAAACTGCACAACACAGATTTATCTGACTCATATCTTCAGCATATTGCATTTACCCTGAGATAAATGAAGAACATCTCACAAAAGAGACTGTTTGTTCTGAGGCAAGACTCAAATAAAAGAAAGAATTGAAATATACTCTTCAGCTGTGAAGCCATAGGCTTCAGACCACTGAGGCTCAGCCAGAGCCTGTTGAAGCCTAAAGAGGCAAGCTAGCGTTCCTCCTTTTACTGTAATAACCAGCTGTTGTTGATTGAACCACAGTGCCGGGAGGGGTGCGAAGGCAGATGCTCTGGTGACACAGAAAACGGCGAACAACGTCTGCCAGCATCAGCATTAGTGCAAATGTATGCGCTGACACACGGCTTCACACACATGCACCTCTCAGCTGGGACAATAATTGTTCACCAGATCAAATGGATGTGGAACATTACAACTGAGGCTCATCAAAAGCACCACTTGTCATTTACAGAGTAGCACACGGACACTTGCTCATCACTGAAAGATACAGTGATGAGTGAGTGATCTGGAGAGGTTTTTTTTTTTTTTTTTTTAATTTTGATTGTAAGCTGCTTGATTTGAATGAGTGGAAACAGCTGTATTTGGACTATTTAAATGACTGTAGGATTTCAAGTAAGCTGAGTCATCTCATACACTCTACAGCTTTGACACAGATATGATAAAGGACAATAAAACTGAGGAGAAAACTAAAATCAAACACTGTGACCCTTTACACACTATTACGACCCAGCTGTATAGGGTCAACTAGCAGGAATAAAAAACAACTGTTCTTGGTTTAGAATGTATTGCTTAGTGATATAATTAACAAAAGAAAAGGTGATAGTACGACAGAGAAAACAGGGCTGGTGAATTTTGCTAAATTAAAGAACCAAATTTTATATTTCACAGTTATAAAACTAGCGAAAACAAAATAACAAATCTTAACTCTCTAGCCAAACTTCAAGACAAATAGCAACATCCATGTGACTAATAAAAGTAATTAAGAAATGAGTGAAAAAAAAGTGCCTCAGACCAAGTAGCCATTTCTAAACGGCTACAGTAAACACAGTAAACAAAGGACAACAAGCAAGCAACAAGCAACAAGCAACAGTAACACAGCTGCCGACAGAAGCTACATTTTAACACAAAGAAAAAGCGATGCAGCAAAGTGAGCTGCTCACATTAAATCCCAGCCGCCCTGACCGTTAGGTTGGCTGCAGATTAGGTCAACCATGGTAATTGCTGCAGTCTGGTTGGAGGAGGACAAGGGCAGGTGGACCAATCAGCCAGATCAGGAGGCGGGGAGAAGGACGAGGGCTGGAGAGCAGGTCAGGAGCTTCAGGCCAGTCATCCCTGATGACAGGTGGAGTCTGGAGTGAGCTGTAATCAAGTCCATGCAAACCACCTCTCCACACAGAGGCCACAAAGGATCTGCCACACACACACACACACACACACACACATATAGATATATATATACCATGGTTAGTTCGGCGGGATAAATCACTATTATATTATGCCGCTCTTCGGGGCGTCACCGTAGCAACGCGCAAATCAGTTGGCTCAGCTGTGTCATCACATATGAATGAGAGAAACGCGATAAAACATGGATTTCAAGATTAATTTGAATATATCTGGCTGAAACAAAATGTTTGAAGAATGGGAAGAGGAGGAGAGCAAACAAGAACAGCAAATGCAACGACACAAAGATTTATACCACGGTCAGTGAGAATTCTATGACTAACTGGCATGCATTATTTGCATAAAATAGTCCCAAAAACTTTTTGAGCAAGTTCTATTAATTAAATAAATATTTTGTGTGTTTGCTCTCTGTGTGGGACCATGGTATAAGCGGATTAAACAGCGTGGAGACGTGCATTATATGGTTTTAATGCACGGCTCCTTGTTGTTTAATCCTTACATATAGACCCTTGTGTGTGTGTGTGTGTGTGTGTATACACACACACACACACACACACACACACACACACACACACACAAGGGTCTCTTTAACTACCCTGGAAAGAATGGCACTCAGATGAAGGTTAACACTCACCAAGCTTTGATCATAAGTGAATTACACAGGTCAGACCATGATCAGATAAATCCTGGAGCCTCACAGTTGGGGGGCTGTGAGCTGAGCTGCACTGAATATATCAAGTGTGTTGTTTTCTTACAAGACAGTTGTCGGGTTAGACTCTGCCATTGTGAGCTGCTGAATGACTGAAAATTCTCTTTGATTTTGTGGTAATCCTGTTGGACTGTTAGATCAAAGATCAGTTACAGAGAGCACATTGTAATTGGTGCCACGCACATTAAATTTCAACTAGCTGGTAAGTTCAATTAAGAAGATGGAAATAAAGAAGGCAGCAGTGCAATAATGATGTAACAGTTTTACTTTTTCAGGCTTGTAGTTCTCACAGTGATCACCTGCAGGGTTTTGTCCCATAGTAAGTGTGGCCACTTACAAAAAAGCTGCTTCATAGCGGTCAAGAACAGAAGAGGCTATATGATGAATTTCATGCTGGACAGGTAGGGAATAATCAACTTGTGAAATTTAATCTGAATAACCAATACTAATCATTTTCCAGTAGTAGTTGTAGACTTGGGTGTTCATTCTCAGTGGGAGTGGTACTACATTAACAAATCTTTCACATCTAACATCAGAAGAAACATCTAATACAACTTTAGGGGACAACTTACAGCACTTGGTTGTCATTGACATGTGTATGGTAGCATTAGCCTCTTTGGTTAGGACAGAACATCAAGACTTGTATATAATCTTTGGTCACTTGCACAAAGACTAACACATTTATTTCCCACTTTACTGGTTTGTCTGATCAAAACATGGTGTGAAACCTTTGCAGCACTGAAATTGCATGACCTGTGAGCTGCAAGGGCTGCAAGGTGGTTCAGTGGTTAGCACCGTAGCCTCGCAGTCAGAAGGTTGCCGGTTCGCGTCTCGGTGAGGACACCCGGGATCTTTCTGTGTGGAATTTGTATGTTCTCCCTGTGCAG